CATATAAATTATTATTTATATACTAGTTTTTATTCATTTATTTTTCAACTTATTTTTTCAGCAAAGTCGAATTTAAAAATAATCTAAAAATGGGTCTAAATTTTTTCAAATTATTTTTTTTAGTTTTATTGACCAAAAATTGAAACCCGAAAAAACAGTAAAAATATGACGTAAAATTGTTGTATTATTTTCAAAACCCTTTTATTTAGTATTTAATTGAAAATTTATACCTTCACTTTACTACCTGTACAAAAATAGTAATTAGTTGGTATATAATAATATTTAAATGAAAATTACTAGTTTATAACTAAGTAATAGACAATAGTATCAATGAACTAAGGACAAACAATACTAATCAATTAACATTTTTGGGAATTCCATTCTATCAAATATATAAGGAAAAACTCAACAACTCAAAAATCTAACCGAAAAATGAGTGATATAAAAGACACTCCATCCCAAAATGGAACAGAACTGATGGAACCGATGGCTGACGGGAAAGACACTGAAGAAGTCGCTCACGAAGACGTCGTCCAAGAAAATGCGCAAATGGAAGAAGAAATTCATAAGATGTCCTCCACCACCACCACAACACTTCAAAACAAAGAGGTGTTAGTCCCATTAATTCAAGTGGTCAGTTACAAAGTGACTGGCATTGTTTTCTTTATTTTTCTCCTCTTAGTCATAGGGAGTTTAATAGGGACGGTCTACATTCCCTCTCCCTTCACACTAGTATCTGGCCCCACGTGGCAGTGCACATGCCCGACGCGGCCGACGGTCTTTGACCCGTCATGCTGTTACGGGGATTTATTGCAACAGAACACGATATCGATGGACATCGGGCCATTCACCGAGTTGAATGAAGAGTTCCGCTTGAGTGGAGTATTTGTGACCACAAACAAAGTGAAGTTTAACACGAAGCTTCAATTAAAAATGACGATCAATGGGACGGATGATGCGCGTCGGAATTATGAATTGTATAAGGATTATCGCTACGACGCGACGCTGAATTGCCACGATTTGAAATGCGACGAGATCACGTTCTTCACGTATCACATTCTGAGCTTTAGGTATTACAACGTCACGCTGACATTGGTCGAACCGGTAGAAGACGCGATTAAAGCGGAAGTTGGGGAGATGACGTATTCTTTGCGTGTGGTGAACAAGAAGTACACTCTTAGTTTTGTGATCTGGCGATTTGTGTTTGTTTTGGTGTCGTGCGTGGTCACAGGCCTCTTCACAATCTTCAGCAGGAAGTACCCGTTTGATAATTGGCCGTTTGAGAATAAGAGCGTCTTTGTATTACTGCTCGTCCTCATCTTTCTGAACAACCCATTTTACACGTACCAATTTGTCTTTGGCGGAGTCTTCTTTGTCTTTTTGGATATGGTGGTGACTGCATTCTTCTGCGTGTATGTCTTGATGGAAGTCCTCATTGTGTTTGAAGCGTTGAGAAAGCCAATCAGTTGGAGAACACAACTTGGTTTTTGGATTGGACGGATCATGTTCTTCATTGCGTTCTTTATAGTGATATTGGTCACGTTGCTCTATAACGAAGGGTTTAATTTCACAAATCCAACGTACGCCCCTCTGAAAGATAAGAAGAACATCGTGTTCTCGTGTTTTGTCGGGGTGTTTGTGTTAATGTATATTGGATGGCTGTTATTCAGTGTCATCAGAACCTTCTCAGAAGCAAAGAAAGTCGGAAATGCTAAGAGAGTCATCGCATTCGGCGTGTTAATGTTCGTGGCTATTTTCATATTTGTCGTGTTACTCATCGTCGCATTCTTTTTGGGATTCGAAAACTCGGCTACGACATATTTGGCTACTATTTCTTACGCAAATTTCTTTGTGTATTTACTCGCATTCTTTTACTTGCCAACACCATCCAAAAAATGTTTGTTGTTCTTATCTCATTGAAATGGTTTTGTGGAGTCAAAGGACATGAACTAATTAATAGTGTGGAACAAGGCAAAAGCAATATTGGTAAAAACTGAAGACATCACACAATATAAGGAACTCCAAACGACAGATTACACAGAACACCCTTCTTTCGTTACAGCAAAGGATGGAGAGTCGAGTGATATTGAAGACTAATTATTCATTTATGTTATTAGAAGTGTATTGTAAAAATTTATTATAAAGATACTATAAACTAGAATTAAAAGTACTAAATTTAAGTATTATAATACTACTTTAAAATAACTAATAAATAACTATAACTTAAATTAATAAAAATTATTAAATTTATAAACTAAATGTTAAAGTGGATGAAAATTATGTTAGTCAAGAAAATATGATGTACATTTGGATATATCACACGCTTCAATCTAATCTTTGTTTTTTCTTCTCGGTATTTCCTTTTCGACTTTCATTTGCCGACTTTTCTTTATATAACTTCGTTGCCTTAATGATTTGGTCTTTTGAGTTTTCCAAGACGATTTGTTCGAATTTTGAGATTCCGTCGACAGCTTGCATTTTCTTGATAGTGTTCAACACGTCAGTCATGTCGACCTTCTCGTTGACCAATTTGTCGCATGTTTCTTTGATGAGTGTAGTGAATGCCTTTGTTGGTAGTCTTCCTTTGATGTTAGAAAGGGAGTGCAGACATTGAAGCACCAAGTCAGCGATGACTGTGCCTTCTGTGTACAAATATGACACCAAGAAGACTGTTCCAAGATATTCAAACTCATCCACTGCATTTGCATCTTCACGTTCGATGCGTTCGATATCTGTTTCATTTTCAGATGGCATTCTGACAGTTGGTGGATGTGTGAATTGATTCTCTGCCTTCCCAAGAAGAAATTTGATCATGTCAATTGCAAGGTCTTTCTTGGTGTCAACTACAAGCATCGCATTGCGCACTTTCACAAAGAACTTCACATACAACTGCACATATCGCCGCTCATTGATCGCATTTTTGAATAAGATCGACAACATCGTCTCAACATCATCTTTACTTCGCATCTGAAGCGCCATTTGCGAAGACACTTTATCAATTGTAAGTTCTGTCAACTGATTGAACCACTGGCGATACATCGCCTTCGATTGATCTACATTAATCAACTTTTCTTCTTTCTTCTCTTTCTTAATCAAAAATCTCTGGAATATCTCATATACTGAATCTCTTGCTCGAACCTTTTTGCTTCTCAAATCAAGCATTTGGTCAATTGAATACACATTTTGTGGGACAGATGGTGTCGCTGACGGGGCCAGAGGTGGGGCATTCAAGCTTCTTCGATACACCTCCTCGTCTGCCTCGTTGTCTTCTTTAATTCTTTCGTCCTCAATGCTTGACAATTTGGTTTCCGTTAACATCTCTTCATTTTGTGCTGGAATGGGCACTGGCTTTTCTGGTAAAAATTCATCTTCTATAGGTGCTTGTTCGCCTTCAGTAACTCTGAACCGTGGTACATAAGTTTCTTCTTCCTTTTCATTAATAGGACTGAACTCTTCTTTTGGTGCTGGTTCTCCAGAAGAGACTCTCATTGGTGGTGAGTAATAATTTTCGATCTCCTTTTGCTTTTCCTTTTCGCTTTCTTCTTTTGTTTCCTTAGTGTTATTCTCCGTAGGTGCGCCTTCACCTTCAGACACTCTCATAGGTGGTTTGTACATTTCTTCATTCACATTTTCAGTTGAATTTCTTCTACTCTCTGCTTTACCTTTGGTGTGTACACTTTCTCTTTGAGAATCATGCGGAACAGAGGGTGAAGTATATGGACGATAGAATTCCTTGATTTCGTCTCTCTTTTCTATGATCATTTCGTTCTCTTTTTCTGCCTTATCTGACGTCTCGTTCTGCATCTCATCATTTGTGATTGCAATCTCAGGGTTTTCATTTGAGTGTTGTGCTTTCTCGTTTAATTCGAATTGATCTTCGTTCTTTTCAGCAATCTCATTTTCTATTAGTTCCGTTTTAATTTCTTTTGGTTTCTCTTTACGTCTCGGGGTTTCAGATTTCGCCTTTTTGCTGTGTTTTTTCTTTTTCTTCTTCTTCTCTGTTTTCGACAAAACTTCATTCCACTCATTTTCAGGTTCGATTATTTCAGGTTCTTTCGGTTCGTCTTTTTGTTGTTTTTCCCACCACTTGTCTTGAACAAAAATCTTTTCTTTTTTTTCCTCTTTTTCTTCTGCTTTTTCTTCATGTGATGGAACGCTTTCGGTTTGGACTAAGTTTTCATCTTTTTTAACACTTTGTTCATTGGGTTCTGATTCCAATTTTTCCGCATTGATGTGAGATTGAGAGATTTCGGGGATATCTTTTTTAATCTCCAAAATGACATCTTTCCCAAATGACACATGACTTTCACTTTTTATTTCGGTGTGTTCGTCATTATTCACCGTCGTTCCACTCACATCATCTGCAACTTTCGGTAATTCGGCATTTTTCTTTTCTTTTTCACTCAACGGCGTCTCACTTTTCTGTGATTTTCTCGAATGAAAAAATGAGTTTGTTTTGAGTTTATATCCCGAAACGACAATTTCAGCTGACGATGTTTTTAATGGCTCTACCTTTGGTGTTTCGGGTTTTTCCAACTTTTTATCAACTTTCTCTTCAAAGTGTTGAAGATCTTCTTGTTCGTTTTGTTTTTCTTTATTGAAATTTTCGTCTTTTTCACTTTTCTCATCACGTTTTCGTTTTGAAGAATTTGGTTTAAAGAATGCCGTAGATTCAAAATTGAAAGAAGCAATTTGTGTGTTAGGTATTCCGGCAGATTTTGTTGTCATTGGCGCATAAAATTCTTTGGAAATGACAACAGGTTGCTCATCTTGAAATGTTTCGGGTATTTTAACCGCTTTTGGAACAACAGCTCCCATTACTCTCTTTTTAATCTTCGGCGTAAACGTTTTTGCATGGAGATTGAGTTGGAGTAACGAAACCTCATCATTTTTTTTCTCTGCTTTGCTCATTGTATGAGCTTCGCAGTTCTTCGTCTAGCTCAAAAGAAAAAATGACCAAAAGGGTTTTAATTTCAATTCACTAATTTTATCTTTTAAAATTAAAGTTTTTAGTAATAATATATATATTATATATATGATAATATTATTTATAATGTTATAGTTTAATTATATCTATTATTTCTTAACTTTTTTATTTTTTTATTTTGGTTTTGATTAAAGTAAATAAATAACGATACTCAACAAAATGTGCACTTTTGGGATTGTTATTATCTTATTATACAATTATTAATTTATTTATTAATAAGAAATAGTTTTAATTGTGATTACAAAAGATGGATAATTAAATCAGATGAACTATAAACAAAACACAAATAATAAATAAAACGCAGATTGATTCCTTTTTCGTGATTATTTTAACCTTTATATATAAAATAACTATATTTTGATAAAAATTAATAGTAAATATGATTGTTTTATTTATATAATCAAAGAAAAATTAATAAAAAACAATATTTGAGTTAATTTGGAAAGTAAGTATCGAATATTCAGTTTAATTAAATTTTCTTGTTCTATTGTTGAAAAAACATACAAATCAATTAACTAATTATAATAAATTGTTATTAGTAATTATATTGATTATAAAAAATAATACTATTTTATAGTAATATTTTTATCATAATAACTATTCTATAATTGAGAGTTGGCTAAAAATAGAACTACTCTTAAGAGTGGTTTATTTTTCTCTGAGTTAACTAGATTTTTACTATATTTCTCTGAGTGCTTCTAGTATATTTTTATAATAAAAATTATAATATTTTTTATGTAATAGTTTATCAAACAAACTATAAAATTATAATTATATTATTAATCAAATGATACTATAATATTTTGATAAAAATTTAAAAAAATAACAACTTTTATTAAAAAATTCACAATCAAAACAGTGGCAACTAACAATACAGAGTATAATTTATACAAGGTTCCCCATTTTTTGGTCTGTCAAAAATTGCGCCAATAAAAACTAGCAATACATTTAGAGTTTTTCAAACCCAATTATATTTTTCCTGTTTTCATTATGCCTTAAAAAAATTTCATTTTAATCGAAAAAAACAAATTAATATTAAACACATTCTACCTAATTTATCAGGAATAGTTTTGGTTTATATTTCGTGAATAATGTTAAAATAAACGGGAATTAATTATTGTTTATTAGGATAGATATGTCGAGAAAGTTGCTACAAAATCGGGCATTTTATTTTAAATAATTGAATAATCAAAAGCAGTTATAAAACAAAAAAATAAATTTACTCTTAATAAAATTAATCAACCAAATATATAACTTAAAATATCAATTAAAATAGTTAAAAAACATACACATTGAAACGTTGTATATTTACCCAAAAATGATAGGTAATATATACATCATTTATTGGGATAAATAACATTTTAATAACATGAATACAAATACTAAAAGAATAACAATTCAAAAACCAAAATATCCAAAATATCAAGACATATTTTAAAATGACAATTTTTTAAAATACCATTTGAATTTCAAAATAATATTTATATCAAAGACCTTTTAAAAACAACCTGAATATAACAAATCACAACACCTAAAAACTATCCAACGATAACAAATAAATCAAAACTGGTCTAAAATTTACAGCTAAAATTGTCAAAATGAAATACAAATTTATGTAAACGACATAATTTATAACACAATTGACTTTGCCATCAAACAAAACAAAGAAAACAATAATAATTTCTTCATGCCAAAAAATAAAAACGTTCGTGAGTAAAAATATTTCAGTTTTTTGTGATCAATTTTGTAAACATTTTAAATGTTTTGATTTTTTTTGATTGCAACAAACCAATTTGACCAAAAATGCCAAAACATTAATTTATATAGTTTGATTTTTAGTAAAATTTACTAAATTTAAAACTATGAATTTTATTAATAAATTTTAACACTTATACTCAATTAATTGTATTATATAAATTATTCTATTTCAATTACAAACAATTAGATGATAAACAAATATTCAAAATTGATTTAACTTTTTGGTACACTTTAAACAAAGTCTTTGGGAAAGTTGTTTTGCCAGCCTTGTGGTGTTTTGTATAAGTTCATTCTTGCATTTACCAACCTGTCTTTGAGAATTCATTCACCATATTCCAATTAATGTTGTCTAGGAACCTTTCTCCTCTTTAATCCTTGAATGTTTTTTTTTAAGTATTTGCTACTTCCACCAAGATCTGTACTCAAGTCTGTTTCAATAGAAATTACTTCTCTACCTTTATCACTCACGTATTCTTGACACCATGCATTTCCTTACTCCTCGTGTGCCTCAGCCTCCACAATGATACAGTATCACCTCTCTCGTTATAATACCTTCCATTTTGAAAGCTCATCCATTCGATAGGTGAGTTGTTACTCACTCATTGGCGATTTCCAACTTCCATGGCCATCGTTCTATTGTCAATATGAATGAACCCTTTTATGGTTCTCCTCATATAAGACTTGGATACTTTATCTGTATGTTCGGTTCATCCCGCATCGCCAGTCCTGCTTACCAGACTTGGCCGATTTGAAGTCCGCATATGCTCACTCCTAATAAATTATTATCGTTTAAGATATCTCGACTATTCATAGTTTGTTAAAATATTGAAAAGTCAAACTGTTCAACATGTCCAATCATCATTTTTACCAATCGTCACTACTTTCTCACTTCAACCTTCCTAAGGGAATATTCAGGTGGAACCAGCTACTAGATAGTTCGATTAGTCTGTCGCCCCTATACTCATATATTGCAAGTAATCTGCACGTTAACACTCCTAAGTCCTTCCACCAAAGTTTCCTTCGGCTTCAAACACCACAAGCATAGTTCACCATCTTTTGGGTCTTAATAGTTTAACTCCTGCCTTTTTTTAGGTGACTCCTGCCATATGTTTAGTCCTTGATTTTCGCTTCATATCTGGGTTTTCTTCCTTTCCTATTCGCTCCAATGTTAACCCTCGTGGAGAAACTAAAAACGTTTCTATAAACCACGAGGGTATTATTTCATTTATTAATCTTTGTCAAATATTTTTACAGATTATTTATTTATATTATGTTTTTTTGTTTAAATCCATTTTTGAGTTGTATTTTTGGATTGAAACAAAATCTAAATACAAATTATATAAAATTTTTTCAAAAAGTTTTCTTCATTTATAAATAGTATTTGTTTTTTTAAAATATTTTTCAATTTAAAAAAAACACAAAGTTAAATAATAATATTAGATATTCAGTTGTTTATTTTATATATAAAATAAACATAGTTACGAAATAACTAAACTATATTAATGACAATTAAACAAAGTATGTGTTTTAAAATTTAATTATTGTTATTGGTTA